AGACCCCGTGCTGTGTGCCCACCCCCTGCCCGGGCCCAAGAGAAGACCCCATGCTGTGTGCCCACCCCCTGCCCAGGCCCAAGAGGAGACCCGTGCTGTGTGCCCACCCCCTGCCCGGGCCCAAGAGAAGACCCCATGCTGTGTGCCCACCCCCTGCCCAGGCCCAAGAGGAGACCCGTGCTGTGTGCCCACCCCCTGCCCGGGCCCAAGAGAAGACCCCATGCTGTGTGCCCACCCCCTGCCCAGGCCCAAGAGGAGACCCGTGCTGTGTGCCCACCCCCTGCCCGGGCCCAAGAGAAGACCCCATGCTGTGTGCCCACCCCCTGCCCAGGCCCAAGAGGAGACCCGTGCTGTGTGCCCACCCCCTGCCCGGGCCCAAGAGAAGACCCCATGCTGTGTGCCCACCCCCTGCCCAGGCCCAAGAGGAGACCCGTGCTGTGTGCCCACCCCCTGCCCGGGCCCAAGAGAAGACCCCATGCTGTGTGCCCACCCCCTGCCCAGGCCCAAGAGGAGACCCGTGCTGTGTGCCCACCCCCTGCCCGGGCCCACAGAGGAGACCCACCTTGCTGGGCGCTGGGCATGTCCCTGAGGTCCTCTCTGCAGATTCAGACTTTGAGGTGCAGAGAGGAGGGTCCCGCTTTGGTCTCAGCCTCAGGCTGCCACACACCAAAGGCAACACTGGCAGCGCTGGTGTGATGGGCCTGTCCTTCTGCGAAACTCCCTGTAGGAGGGACTGTGAGCCGCTGGCTGGGCTGCTTGTGTCTCTGAGTCAGCAAGTCCAGGAGTGCCTCCTAGACAGACCCCCGACTCACTGCAAGGACTTCACCTTGGAGCCTCAGTTTCCCCAAATAAAGTGGGCTACGATTTCCTCCCTTTGGGGGCAGTGGGGCCACACACGTGACTGGCAGGCTCCTTGGATGGATGAAAGCTTTGGAGACCCACTCAGCCCCTGACACCCATCCACCTCACCTCTCTGTGCAGTGGGGTGAAGGCACCTCAGATGTGAGGTTGTGCCTAGGTGCCTGGTGCACCCAGGGCCAGGGGAGCAGCTGGCAGCGCCCGGGAGTACAGCTGTGCCGCCGCCATTGCTGTTTATGGAAACGTATGCCCGAGGCCGCTGGGCCAGGCTGGATGGGCAGTGGTGCTGATGGAGGCGGAGTGTGTGCTGTGTGCGTCCCCGAGGGCGGAGGAGGACACTGAGGTCACCACCCTGTAGGGGCGAAGGTGGGGTCTGAACTTGGCCTGGCACCTGGGGGTCCCTGAGGCGGCTTCTGTGGAGACTGCTGTGCTCTGCCTCCCAACAACAGCACAGACATGGGGGCCATCTCCACGGGCTGTTCTGTTTCCTGGTGATTCTGAAGCCTGAGGACAGCTGGGCCGGCCTCATCTTCCCAGCGGCAATAACAACCCCATCCCGTCACTGGCAGGGGGGCCAGGGGGCCTGGCTGCGGGGCCTGAGCACGGAGCCCCGTGCAGGGGTCGCGGGGAGGCGCTGAGGCCACATGTGGGACATGGCGGAGCTGGGAGTGGAACCTGGCTCAGAGGGGCTCGGTGCTCCACGCACCCGCGGCAGGCGGCACAGAGCCGGGTGGTTCCAAGTTCCCTGGGCCAGTGTCAGAGGTAGCTGTGCCTGGCAGGTGGGGGCAGAGCAGATGCAGGGCTGTGAGGAGCGGGTGGGGGCAGAGCAGGTGCAGGGCTGTGAGGAGCGGGTGGGGGCAGAGCAGGTGCAGGGCTGGGCCGGGCGGGTGGGGGCAGAGCAGGTGCAGGGCTGTGCCGGGTGGGTGGGAGCTTCGGGAAGTCATGGTCTAGTCCTCGCTCGGCCACCCAGGCGCTCAGTGACCTGGGCAAGGCCCCTCCCTTCTCTGGGAACCATAGCCCTGGTCTGGGTGCTGGGAGCTGGGAGCGAGGGTTGTGGTCCCAGGCCGCCTGACTCCTCACCTACAGGCTCCCTGAGGTCCCCACCTTGTTTCCTGCGCCTTGAAAAGGGGGCCTAAGGAGGTGCCCTCTGCCGTGCCAGCCCCCCCCCCCCCCCCCCACACACACACACATGGTGCCCAAGGAGGAGTCTCTGAGCAGCACATGACCTCCTGCCCAGGACCCGGCCACACTCGGCTGTTCCGAGAGGCATGGACATCATCCACGGGGGCGGGCGCAGAAGGCCAAGCCCTCGCCTGCTCTCCGGGGTGAGAGTGAGAGAGGCGTGGCCTCAGGGCTCAGGCCTGCCCGGCACCCTGATGAGGAGACTGGGCTTCCGGGGCGTCCCTTTGAGGGGCAGCAAAGGCAGAACCTAAGGGGCAGGAGGACGGCTCTGGTGCAGCCAGGTGCTCCCCAGCGTGTGTCTGTTCCACGTCCCCAGCCACCCCTGACATGACAGATGGGGAAACTGAGGCTCAGGGAGGGGAGGCAGCGCGACTGGGAGCTGACAGCTCTGCTTGATGGATGCCCATCCGGTCAGCGCCGCCCGGGGAGGCTCAGTTCCCACGGCTCAGGTTGGGCCTGGGACACTGTCTCAGCTGCCTCGCTCCTCCCTTTCAGGAAAGGCCAAGAGGAAGAAGGACTTACGGATATCCTGTGTGTCCAAGCCGCCTGCGCCCAACCCCACGTGAGTCTGCCTCAGTTTCTCCCTGGGCTCAGCCTGGGGGGCCTCTTGGAGGGGCCCCAGTGGACGGGGCATGGAGGGGTTGTGGGCCCGGCAGAGCCCCTGCGGAGCCCTCTGCGCGGTCGCGGCCTGGGGCTCATGGCATCTGGGTCCGGACTGTGCTCTTCTCCCACCTCAGATGGAGGGGGCACCTGGCACCTGGCACAGCAGGTGCACAGGGCGAGAGGAGGGGCCTTGAGGAGTGCCACCTCCTGGGGATGGTCATGCCTCTGGCCCCAGGTTGGCCCCTTCTCTGCTGGGAAGGGTGTGGTTCTCAGAGACTCATGGGATCTGTGTTCTCCCTAAAGCCCCCCTAGGAACCTGGACTCCCGGACCTTCATCACCATTGGAGACAGGGTAGGTGCTGGCTGAAGCCTGGGCTCAGGCTTTTCCTCGAAGGGGCCCGAGCTGACCCCTAGGGCCAGGAGAGGTGCTGTGGGCTCCAGCGGAGCCCAGCTCCTTGGACGCTGGCTGTGGGCCCGAGCCTCACGCTGACTGTCCCTTCGGAAGGGCACAGTGGCCTTCTCCTGGGGCCCTGCTGAGCTTCCTTACCTCAGAGTCTGTCCCCACATCACCCGTGGGGACTGTGTGGGGCATGCAGACCCCTGCCCGACTCCTGGGTGCATGCCTGGAACCCGAGTCCCACAGGCACCTCTGATGGCCAGGCAGGGACTGCGAGTCCTGGTCAGGGACCCCGCTGGACCCACGAGACACAGTGGGGGCTCCAGGCAGAGACCTCACTATGGAGGCCTCTCCCTGCAGACAGCTCCTTTCAGGCTTATTTCTCCTCCCTGACCTCGTCCCTGTTTGATGGCCAGTTCATGTACTTGCTTATTTCTTTTGGGTCTGCCTCCTGCAAGAGAGGGCGAGCATGAGAGAACAGATGGCCCACACCACGCTGCTTCCTGTGAGGGCAAGGCCTTGTTCTCTCTCTGTGTCTCCAGTGCCTAAAACGGACTTGCACATAGTAGGCACTCAGCAAATTGAATAATTCAGTCTACCCTTCTGAGTAGGGTGGGGAGCAAGAGGGAAAGGGCCTCCCTTGAGTCCCCTGTGCCTGCAGGGGCACTTCACAGACTGTCCTGGGGTACTGGTGCTGCGCCTGCTCTGTAGGTGGGGGGTGATGCTCAGAGAGGGAAGGACTTATCCTGGGTCGCACAGCAGGAGAGGCTGGTGCAGGACTTCGATCCAGGTCTGACCGGCTGGCTGTCTTCCCTTCCCGCTGCCCCAGCTGTCTCCACTGAAGGAGGCAGGGCCAGCTCCTGGCTTTTGACCACCAACCTTCTCTCTCTTCTATTCCCTAAGAACTTTGAGGTGGAGGCCGATGACCTGGTGACCATCTCGGAGCTCGGGCGTGGAGCCTATGGGGTGGTGGAGAAGGTGCGGCACGCCCAGAGCGGCACCATCATGGCTGTGAAGGTAAGCAGGGTCCTGCCCTGCCAGGGAGCACTGGGCCACAGGACACCTGGGAAGCTGCCTGAAGGAGGTGTGGGGGCTGAGGATGGTGGGGGCTTGCCTCCTGCCGCGTGGCCCCTGACCTGCGGCCCTCTCACTGGCAGCGGATCCGGGCCACTGTGAACTCCCAGGAGCAGAAACGCCTGCTCATGGACTTGGACGTGAACATGCGCACGGTCGACTGCTTCTACACCGTCACCTTCTACGGGGCCCTCTTCCGAGAGGTGGGCCTTGGCAGGAGTGAGGGAGGGGGGTGCCAGGCTAGGGGCTAGCAGCTCAGACACCCTGCCTTCCCTCTGTCACATACTTGCCCCCAGGCCCCAGCCTGAAGCCACTTCCGGTCATTCTGGGCCCCAGCAGACACTTGCTGAGTGCCCCTGAGTGCTGGGCGCTGGGCACAGGAGTGAACGGGCCCTGCCTATCTGTGGACAGCAGGGCAGGGCTCTGGAGAGCGCAGGCCTCGGAGCCAGATGCCTGTCTTCTTTGCTTCCTGCCTCAGTTTCCTTGTCTATGAAATGAGACCAGTAATTGTACCCACCTCACAAGGTTGTCATGATGAAATGGTGTGGCCGGGGGCCTGGTGTTCAGTGCATGTGCCACCAGGTGGTGTGACCACCTGCCTGAGCAGCGTCCTGGCTGTAGGGTGGGCTCCGGGCGGGGCAGCTGTGGGGGTGTGTGGGGGGTGGATGTGGGCAGGGACTGGGTGAAGCAAGGTGTGGCCTTGGAGCTGGGAGGATGGGCTCCTGCTGGGGTGTTGGCCATGGAGTGTGGACAGAGCGGGAGCCAGGTTAGGTGCTCTTGTTCGCAGTGGTGGTTGCCACCTGGTTCAGGGGAGGTCGGGCTCCTGGCCCCGCCTCACTCTGAGCACCGAGTGGGTCCCTGAGCTTGTTGAGTGTCCAGACCCATTGTGTGCCAGGCCAGGTTCCATCCCCGTGCCGCTCGGAGCCCCCGTGTGCTGGGTCAGAGCTGGCAGGGGGCCCAGGGGCCTGTGGGTACCTGAGGAGAAGGCTGTCCTGAAAGGTGCAGAGGCGGGGGAGGCAGGCATCACGGGGAGGAGGGACCTGTCTGTCAGGGTCAGAGCTGGGTCCCTGTGTGGTAGGGCCACCAGGGCTGAAGCCGGAGGCTTTGTGGGGCTGGGTCATGGCCAGGTCGTGGAAGTGGCTGTTGGAGGGACCCAGTGTTTTAGTCACTTCTTCTGGAAATCACCGTGGACTTAGGGATCCGATAGGGGAGCCCAGAGGTGATGGGGGGGGGGCGGGGTAGGGGGGGGGGCTGTTGGG